CGCGCCCCGCCTCGGCCGCCCCCCGCCTCGCCCCAGGCTCTCCCTCTCCGGCCCGCTGGGACCCCCACCGCCTCTCCCGGGGGACGAAGGGGGTCGGTGGAGGCGCAAACTCGAGCTGGAAACAAAAGCGAAGGTCGCCCCGCGCGGAGCTGCTCCCGGCCCGGCAGGACCCCAGGGCCTGCCTGCGCTCCTCTGCACCTACCATTGCCGGGGTCCAGCGGCCGGGCTGCCCCGCCTGCTCCTCAGGAGGCGGGAGAGAGCATCTCCCAGCAGAAGGATGCTCGGGAGAGAGCTGTCAGTTTTGCACAGACCTCCCTCCTGCCACAAAGGGGAGAACGCGTGGGTAACACGGTGCATTGGATGAACCGGAAGCAGTATCCGTGCCAGGATCTGCATTTCTTTCATCATAAAAAACTGGAGATCGCTGCACTCCTTCCCAGATTGCTTTTTTTCCCCTCTCATTTATCTTCAGTAAGCATCTGGCCCTTAACACCTGAGCACTCCACGGTTGGCAGCATTTGCTCTCCTGGTGACCCCATAAAATGGACTGATACACTGCTACCCCATTTGTCAGATGGGATTTGAGATGTTCTGCTTGATTTTTCCTAACGCTGCACCCACGGAAACCCACGGACAGGTCTGAGCACAGGGCTGCCAATCTCTGGGTGAGACAAGGGCGCTACCGATGCTCCAGAGCTCATGACACAGAGATAAAATCAGCTCAGACAACCTGCCCCTCTTGATGCCTCTCTTCTCAACACCTGGTACTCAAGAGCCTCTCCGGACTTTCGCAGCAGAAAAGCCAAATTACAGTGCAGTAACACCTTGCATCCCCATTGGTTCTCCTCTGCATTAATATGCCCAGTTATAATTTACACTCAAAAAACCCACACAGAACAAAACAAAAATAAAAACCAAACAACAACAAAAAAAACAACCACCCAAATCAGTGGCTTTTCTTCATGAGCTTCTGCTGCTGTGCTGTTCTCCAGGCAGGCTGTGCCTACCCACATAGCTTTTCAGTTTCCCAGTTCCACCACTCACTGCAAACTGACCTCTGGCTCCCTCCCTCCCTCCTCTTCTCTACTAATGCAGCAGAAGGCCAACAGAACATGCATCGTAGCCCTGTTCATTCCTCTGCTGTGAAAAGCCAGAGACCAAGACACGGAACAGCAAGCCCTTAGATGCCACCAGAGCAGAGAGCCACAGGCCAGCTGCCCCACACCACCGAACACCCAACCATGGTGTGGGGTCCTCTGGGAAGAAGCCAGCTGCCACGGCTGTGGCCCGCAGGGCTCTGAGTCAGAGCCCATGTTTTTCTGAGTTACCTCATCCTCTCTGCTAGCTTGTATCTTACAGTACTACAGGTTTCCAGGCAATATTGTACAACCTGGGGAAGTATTGGATTTTTATTTTTTTTTCTTCCTTTCTCCCTTATTATAAACCTGAGATTCTGGAGCATGATTCTGGGTCAGGTGTAAATTCCATTTCAAGGCAGCAGAAAACACAGTGATCTCTTTATACCTTTGTCATAACAAAGCACCAGGTCTCAGACATGTGTACCTCATTCACCAGACCTCTGCAAACAACTCAGAATAATCTCCTTATTCTTTTCACTTAACTGCTTGCATTCACCTAGTCTCCTCTGTGCCACACGGTGGCAACTTCCTGTCCCAAACCTAGGGCACAGACCTTCAGGACAAAGACCCATCATACTACCATCATCCCACCACTGTTCACCACAACAGCATAATTTCTAATCCATTTTGGCCTTCATCTTAGAAAACTCCAGAAATATTTGCCATCAAAAAGAATTCTCCAAAGAAAAAGAGGTGCCCAGCTGCACACTGAACCCTCTCTTGCACTGCCGCCCACCCACCACCCAGTTGGTACAACTGCTTTGCTCATGTGCCAGAAGAGTGGGAATTCCTTTAGTGTGATCTACTGCAGGTCTCGCTCTTTCATCTCCATTGCAGGCCAGAAAGCATCTCCTCCCCCATGCTTGGAATATATCCACCTTTGCTCCATTTTAATGAGAGAAAAGACTCAATTTCCACTGGATGTACTTGGGCAACAAGAAATGCAGGAGCTTGGATTGCCATGAAAACATCTGAAATGAACATCTGATACAGAGTTTCAAAAGCTTCAAGAACACCAAGGAAAACATGATCAGACGTGGTAACACTTGACATCTTTGTTGTCTTGAGCTCTACTAGAGCCCACAAAGACACTCCTGATAATGAACATGACTGATAAAATTAGGTTAATCTGTGCACCTCATCTTTCCTCACTGAGGACTAGGGGTTCAGAAGTTGTCTCATGGCCAAGCAAAACAAGTTTGGTGGGCCTTCACTTAGCTTCTTCTGTGTTGAAGTCATGGCACCACTGCCCCATTTCCCATGACTGCTTGCCACCCTCTGCTGAAGAAAATTAAAGACTCGAACTGCAGAACATGCTGCTGAAAACAACAAAGAATGAGTGGAGCTGAAGGCTGGAAGCCTGGAGAACATGCAGCTCAGAGCTATGAGATCATCCCTTCCCACTTACTGCATTTATTCAAAAAGCAACATATTCAGAACAGCTCTAGATGCCAATACTTTCAAGTTCTCATGTTTTTTCAGGCACATATGTGTTGAAACTTCATTACCGTGCTGCAGAAGTAGCACTCTGAAATAACATGGAGCAAATTTAACCAGTCTACCTCTGCAGTGCCAGGACACAGCTTATCATCCTCACCACGTCACGCAAAGCTCCTCTCTTGCACCTGAGCACATCTGCACCGTTTTTATATTCTCTTCTGTGTTCACCTGGATGTACATGATGTTTTTTTGTTAACTCCTATCATTCAAATTCTAAAGGAAAACAAGCTGGAGAAGGAAGTTTAAGCAGCAGGTGACAGGGCAAGGCCAATGAAATCACACTAGCGACAGGACAGATTAAGAACTAACTTCTGGTTTGACGAAGAGGTCTACACGTACATTTAAAAATGCTTGTGTTAGTTTAACACTCATAGGACTAAGAGAAACTGAGAGAGAGGAGAAAGCCATGAGTACTCTGCTTTCTGCACGTTCCAGGGTTTGTGGTCCTTTTTCTTTTTTCTTATAATTCCCCTTTGGTGCTGAGGTGGAAGGAAAGCACAGCCTTCAATTTTAACATCCCATTACCTGCATTTCTGTGCTGGCTCAAATTTAGATGGAGCAAACCTGCCAGCTGGATCAATGCCAGAGGGAAGAAAAAAAGAAAGATTCAAGTGCAAAGAACCAATTTATCAGGAACAAATCTTAACAACCAAAAGACACACTTCTGCTGGTGGATTCTATTCATGTGCGTAATAAAAACCCTGGTACAAGGTAACCTAACAAAATACTCTTTAGTGGCTATCTAAAGTATCTCTAGGAAGATAATCTTCAACCGCCAGTCTATGTTTCACTTTTTTTGGCTAAATTTGGTGCCTGTGAGGACAAGGAATGCTGACACTGAATAGCAAAGGACTGTGCAGAGAACATCACCTTTCACTTGGCTCCAAAAGTATTTGAGCCTGACCCATGGCCTCTGGCTTCTCCAAGAACTCCACACACCAGGCCAGCAAATCTCACGTGTCCTCCAAATATAGCCCCCTCCCCCAGCAGAGGCTGCAATACGGGCTTCACCCTGTCCCAAGTGCTGCTCTCAAACCCATCAACCATTCCTATCACCCTACACACTCTCACTGGACCTCCAAAAGTGAAAAGGTGATGAATGAGACTTTCTTGGAGGTTTTCTCACTGGTTTCAGAAAATGGAGGAAGAAAATAGGTAGTGAGCCACTCTCAGTGGCTTGCCATCCCTGCGGGGTGGACTGCAGTCACACGTACAAGTCACATGCGCCCGGGCAATGCAGTGAGGTACACAACAACACGCTAGTTTTTGCAGAGCACGGTACTGCTGTCAGCTCAATGTCCCTACAAAAAATAGATGCATCAAAGCTTAAGAGATGCAAGATCTAAAAACCAGTTAAACTGGCTTCAAGTAGCTAATACCAAGAGGGACAGCTCTAGAGAGGTCATCTCTAAGGGAAAACTGACTGTTCTGTAGCCCAGGTGCCTTTGCTCTGGGACAAAGGAGAAATGTCCACACAGTGTGGTCTGGCTTTGCCCCACCCTGCCCAGGGAGAGACAGAATAAAACCATCTTAACCTATAGAGCCTTTTGTCTGCAGGGAGTGTTTTGTTATGTTCCAAGTTTCTATTAGATAACGAGGAAGTTATCTTTTTAAGGTTGAAAAGATAATGAGGAGGCAATTTAAGTGTAAATGGACAAGATGAGATTGGCTGAGTCACAAGATGGTCTGACACAAGCAAGAAGCAAATTGCCTTCACCATGGGATGAGTTACTTGATGAACAGTTAGGATGATATTGCCTTTTTTACTGCTATGGAAGGGTTTAAAGGAGAAAGGTAGATTGTATTAATATATCTTTTTATATATATATATATATATATAGCATAACATAGTGAATGTAACAGATGCCTGCTACCATCCACTGCAGTTGTTTTAGCATAGATAGGAAAGAGCAAAGCACAAATGTCCCTACAAAAAAAAAAAAAAAAAAAAAAAAAAAGGCCAAAAATGCAAAAAAACCACAAAGGTTTCAAGCAACACAGACCTTGGAGCTGAAGTGTCAAACAGTACTGCTTGTGTGCAGGAGCCTCAGAGCCCTCCACAGAGCCTCAAGGCCACCAAGGCCTTGATGCACAAAGCCAAGGAGCCCAGCATGGAAGCAGCGTTCTTCTACAAAACCAGCACTTTTGCCCAAAGAACATACAGAACAAATATCACAACTTTAAAGAGTCTCCACTGTTCTTTTGCTTACCTGGACAACTGGGTATTGGTAATCCATACAATACACACCATACATAGCCAAAGATACTCCAGCTAAAGGCCAAATGGACACAGGACTGGAAGCTTCAAACCCGAGTCTCCGTCTTTCAGCCTTGTGGGAAGGACTCTGGCAGCCCTGCGCAGTGCTTGGCTCGGGCCTCTGGGGCCACTCAGGTTGACACTAGCTCAGCTGAAAATAAAAAGGAGCTGCCTGGCTCGGCTCAGCTCAGCCCCTCTCTTCTGGGATCCAGCAAGGCAGCGCTCAACCATAGGCGGCAGAGGCTCCTAAAATTAGAAATCCCCTACTGAAAACGGCCTTCAAGCCTCGACTGAGGAGCGTCCTGCAGCTCCTGGGCACCAAACAGTGATTGCCAGGAAGAGGGGGACACAGGATCTTCACAGCCACCACTGCCAGGGACAGGAGGAAGCAAACAGCATTTAGGATCTGAAAAGAGCATATGTTCTGGGCTCTAGGTGCGTCAGAGGGAACACTCCCAATCCAGGACAGAGAAAAACATATGGAACTGTTCCTCCCCCACCCCCATACCCTTCTAGCTGTCCCCAGCAGGGACAGGTGCTGGGATTAGCATAGTAAAACCCTTTGGTGTCAGGGAGGGAGGGAGAGGGGAGAAGCCACATTGGTATCTTGCTCTGAAGGGATCTCTTTCACAACGGAGTATGTGCCCATATCGTTTAACACTTCTCCCTCCCTCCACACTTGAGGCAGGCAGGGACAGCTGCCGGAACCCAGGCTGGTGGGGGGATCTGGGCCCAAGGTGGCCCCCACTGCCCTGGCCTTGGGGGCTGCCCCCCTCAGCTGTTCCAATCAAACTGGGGGTGGGAGGGATTAACTCTGTCTCAGGGGATGGTGAGCAGTGGGGAGAAGGGAACAAGGCCGGGCAGGGCCAGTTGTTGTGCCCGTTTTAGGAAGCCTGTCCTCCCAGTTCCCAGGGAGGAATCTGCTTCCTGATGGACGGGGACAGATGGGGAGCTGCCTGGACAGGGGCTGGCAGGCTCACCCCACTGGACCTGCCTGCCAGGTGTGTTACCAGACACCCAAGAGCTCATTGCTGATTCTCAGAAGACACACCATGGCTGGGGGGTGCCAGGGGACCTGATCCCCCAGAGCAAATCACATGAGGTTTCACCCACCACTATGCCAACCCGCACCAAGCTGCCGCCAGCCCAAACACAGGTTCCCAAGGAGTTAACAGCCCAAAGCCACAAACGATTCCCACCATTCTCCAAAGGACAGCAGTGATAAAACCCCTCCCTCTGAGGTTTCAAAAATAAGGATGTTACAGTGATCATACCCAAGAAGGGCTATCCAAATTCCTCCCCCTCCCATTTTAAATGCAGAGTGGATTTTTTTGCATTTTTCATCCTCAAATTTTCTGCAGTGCTGCTGTGCACCACTAACAACTAACTCAGCATAGCTCTGGGGTAGCTGCCTTTCCATTGTTACTGATAATTTCTTTCCCCTCAGAAAGAGCTACGATATTTTTTTTTTAAGACTTTAAATGAATAGATCATTATCTAGCACGATTTGCATATGTGGCACTTAATAGTTTAGGTAAGGGGTGCCTAATCCACAGCCCTCTGACCCATCCAGCCCGCCAGGACAGCTCTTGGCTCATCCTGTGCTCCCACTGCACTTTTTTTTCTGAAACACCTCGAAAAAGGACAGCAACAAACTGGACGAGTGGTTACAGTAGCTGCCACCCACTCTCATCATCTTTCCTAGGGCTGTAAGGACACTTCTTCCTTACAAAAGGAGTACTGCCAATTTGGGGAGTATAAAGCATGACATTTTCTACTTCTATAAAAAAAAACCAAAAATACAACCAACAACAAACAACTTTCTATAGCCATTGTTTCTGTGTGAAGATTTGCACAGAGAGATAAATTAATTGCCCGTAAATGGGAAAGCAGCTATGCTTCTAGATCTCTTCACTGGGGAAAAAGAATGAAGCACCCACAATAAACTTACATCTCATTCTGCCTTTCACCAGCTTATTTTGCCCCAGCCCCAAACCAGCTTTCTGGAGCTCATATTGTGTCTACTGATCCTTACCTTCAGAGGGCTATTTGTCCATCTCTCAGCACTCTTGCTGCAAGCCCTGCTTTGGGGCACAGTTTGTATCTGGTTTCCTCCAAACTACCGATTTATTTATTTTTTTCCTTTCTCTAACTACATGTTCGATAGGTGCCTGCCCTTCATTCCTTTGCATAGCTCATTACTACGTACTCAGGCAATTTAGTATCTTAAATAACATCTTTTTATTAAAAGGTACTAATTTTTAAAAACTCAGCATCTTTTCCACCACCTGTTTTTGCTACTCCATATTACTGTCCCAGGTATTAAAACCGAATCCCTAACTAAGTTAAAACCCTAATGTTTCTTTCACAATCCAATTCTTGTAATTTCCAATCAGGCCTCAGGGCAGTAAAACCCTTCCAAATCCTAGTACAGATATCTATAAATAACCATCAAATGGGCAAAACAAACCAAGGAGGTGAGGCAGGGAACACCACCTTTAAGCTCCTCTGTTGTTTTAACTACAAATCCAAATAGAACTGCCATGCTCTTAAGTTTTTGATGCCTATTGAAATACTCTGCCTTAACCAGCATTAAGATACTTGTGTGACATTTCAGCAACTAAGCATTGTGCCTCCTGTGTCCCACAGAAGGTTAAATGACAAAAACTAGTTTTAAACTTGCATGTGCCAAAAGGGATACAAGCAGGACTACACACACTTTATCAACTGGCAGTAAACTACTGAATTTTCTGCAGAGCTGGCCATAATGGCTGGTTTACTACTGCACATTGACTTGCAGCCAGTATTAGTCAAATATAAGATGGCACTGCACTCCACAACAGAGTGAGATAAAAGCCCTACTGCATTACCACATAACCTGCTATGCACATGCATTTCCAGTAACACAAGTTAGGTAACTGTTCTAAAATCATGGCCTTGTTCCTGCAAATGCTTACACATGTTAATAATTTTAAAATTACACAAATGTTAATGGTGGAAAAGACCTCCTGACACACAGAATGAGATCAATTGCCATCATACGATGTCATCTAATATTTTCAGAAAATTTATCACACTACATCTTAGAATTGAGTTTTGCACCTATAATGCCCCAGGCAAAAGGCTGCTCTAGAACAGCAATCTCCAGCAGCTGGGATCTGTGTTTGTCTCCAGCTTAACATTATTCCCGATCAATTTCTGTTTATTCTTTGTTCTTGTGCCAGTACTATCCTCTGGCTTAACCGTATTTTATCTTTCCCTTACAATTAACCTCCCTGATGTAACCCCCTCTCTACCCATCTAAACAAGCAGCTGTTCCAGGCTTCTGTCACATGACAGACTTGCTATTCCCTAGTCTCTAGAAGCCCTATCTTGCACCTGATCTAGCCTATGCTCCTCTTTTCTTTTTTTTTTTTTTTAAAGACATTCCCCAGAACATTGTTAGCTCCTAATCCACTTCACAATTCCAGCACTAAACTGCATTTTCTCTAGCCTCGTTAGTACTTTCCTCTGGAGCACCACATCAGATGCTGTAGGACCCCATCTACAGTAAGGCACGCCATCCTGTTAAGAAAAATGTATGTTACCAAGTTAAGAAAATTGGTTATCTTAAAACCAGACAGGCTGATATGGTCTAACCCTATTTTGATGGATTTGTGTTGCCTTTTATTGCATTTTTCATTTGTATTCAAGCATTCAATGTTTTTGTGTCAGCATACAGCTGAGGTTGGACCAACAGGTCTGTATTTACTCAGATCATCCCTCACCACCAACAGGGTTATTATGCTTCCTGTTCTCCAAACGTATGATAGCACTCCTGATTTAACAGATTACAACCTGCATCTGATCTGCAACTTCATTAACACATCCTTTCATTTTCTGGAATATGCATCACCCTTCCTCAGGCAACCCTGCTCCCCAGCCCAGCCTGCATGCACTAGGGCCTTTGAGATGTCCAGTGTGGTTGCTCTACAGTAGGTTCATGCCCATTGCCCACCCTGACCTTTGCTCCCATCATTAACTCTACCTTCAACAAGAAAGAAGATTTGTTCAATTCTGTGATCACAAGAGTATCCTCCTCATTAACTACTCTATCCCCAACACTAAGCAGTGCCACATCTTCCCTTCTCTCTAATGGTATTTTGAGAAACTGTCACTCATTTCCTTAGCAACATTTGCAAGGCTTAACTCAGCTTGATTTTTTGGCAGTTCTCATTTTAGCCCTATTGACTTTTTTAAAGGCACAGCCATCTTTGCTGGTAAATTATCTTTTGTAAATTCTCTCCTTGTATCCAAGAGCCTTTTTAAGGTAACTATGCCTTTAGTTAGGTTGAAGTTTCTTCTTTCAAGTTTTTTCCCCCTTATATCATCAAGGACTTTTATACAAAGTACCTCTAACAAAACAAAACAAACAAAAAACCCCAAACAAATGGAAAAAAACCCCAACAAACCACACACTTCTGCCTTCTGGATTTTCAATCCAGTTCACTGACTTCAGTAAATATTTTGCTTCATGTATCAAAGGTTGTATTGTGGTCACCTCATCCAAAGGTGGGGACATGGAGGCTTCTAAATAGCTTAATTTCACAGCACAAATAATTTACTCACTGCCTCAACAAGTGAGGATGCTACAATAATGAAATCTTTTGACTCTGTTAGTATTAGCAGCATTTATTCTCCAAGCTATATCTGAGAAATTAGAAGTTCTTCATACTAGTATTTAACTCTCTAATGGTACTGGGAATAATATCATTTCAGAGCCTTAAGTTTATATCTGAATCCAATCCTACGAGGGATTACAGCAGATTCATAGTTCTCCCTCTGGGACTTCTTTTACCATTCTCCCCCACAGCAATTTTGTCCAGAAACAGATCCTGTGTTATCAGTATTACTCTTCTTTCTTCTTTACAGTCCACTGCATACAATACAGCCTATCACCTTCTACATCTACTCTATCTGAACCACACAATCTTGAATACATGTTAAAGCCATGATTACTATTCTTGCAGATTGATATTATCCCTACAATATCCAGTTCCATGTTCTGCACCAGCAGCTCTGGTTCCTCTACTTCTTATTTCTAATGCCAGGAGCCTCAAAAAAAAACCCTCAAAAAAACGTTTCTGCATTTACAGATCACACAGCTCCCAGCTCCCTCAACTAAAACTATAACCCATCTAGTTAGCGCTGAATTTTATTCTTCTTTTTATAACATTGAATTTTATTATTTTCCATCT